CCTCTTCATCCTCCTCATCCTCCTCCTCCTCCTCTTCGTCCTCCTCCTCCTCCTCCTCTTCCTCCTCCTCCTCCTCCTACTCCTCCTCATTTTCCTCCTCCTCCTCCTCCTCGTCCGCCTCCCCCGTCCCTCCGATGTCCGTCTCCTCCAGCATCGTCATATGTCCCGTCATTATCCCTCCTCCACCGCTTCCCTTCGCCATTCCTTTTACATTATCCTCCCAAATGGCACCTCCTCGCTCATCCCTCCTCCTTCTCCTCCTTGATGCCTCCATCCCTTGTCAGTTTCCTCCGTCGTCGTCGCTGCTGTTTTGTTTTATGTGTTGTTGTTGTTGTTGGTGTTGTTGGTGGTGGTGGTGGTGGTGGTGGTGGTGGTGGTGGTGGTCGTGGTGGTGGTGGTGGTGGTGGTCGTGGTGGTGGTGGCCGTGGTGCTGCTGTTGAACTCTCACTACTGAAGAATAAATATTGTTAATCCCCCCGCCCGGTGCACATTGTATGTTTCAATTGACGTGCCCCTCCCGGCGCTCGCACCCTGTTTTTTATCCGGGAAAGTCTTTCTCCTCAAGCTTCGTTGTTGGTCTCCGGATTACAACAACAACAACGGCTCCCGCCTGAGACGTCCTCACAATTTAGCCAGGACCCCCGCTCCGGCCTGAGACTTCCTCGCATTTTATTCAGGAATCGCGCTCTCGCTTGGGAGTTCCTTACAATGTATTCCGGAATCGCTCTCTCGGCGCTCTGGAATCGCGCTCTCGCTGGACAGGCACCCAAGAGCCGCGCTCACGCTTAGGACTCCCTAACAGATTACTTAAGCTTCGGGATCTCGCTGCCTTTCGTGGCCCCGTTGCAGCTCTTCGTGGCCCCCTCGCTGCCTCTCGTGGACCCGTTGCAGCCCTTCGTGGCGCCCTCGCTGTCCTCCGTGGCCCCGTTGCAGCCCGTCGTGGCCCCCTCGCTGCCCTTCGTGGCCACGCTGCAGCCCTTCGTGGCCCCCTCGCTGCCCATCGCGGCCCCGTTGCAGCCCATCATGGTCCCCTCGCTGCCCTTCGTGGCCCCGTTGCGCCCCTTCGTGGTCCCCTGGCTGCCCTTCGTGGCCCCGTTGCAGCCCTTCGTGGCCCCCATCGCTGCACTTCGTGGCCCCGTTGCAGCCCTTCGTCGTCCCCTCGCTGCCATTCGTGGTTCCATACATGTATGGCCTTCGTTGCCCCTGCTCGTTCGCGCCCGTCGTGGCCCCACCCGCATACACTTCGTGGCCCCGCCGTCACCCTTCGCGGCCCCCATCGCTGCCCTTCGTGGCCCCGTTGCTGCCCTCAGTGGCCCCGTCCTTGCCCTCCGCAGCCCAATATACGCATGCCTTTCGTGGCCCCCGCTCGTTCGCGCCCGTCGCGGCCCCCGTGCGCAGGCCCTTCGCGGCCCCGCTGTCGCTCTTTGTGGCCCCCTCGCTGTCCTACGTGGCCCAGTTGCTACCCTCAGTGGCCCCGTTGTTGCCTTCTGCGGCCCAGCATTATCTGCCCTTCGTGGCCCCCGTTCGTTCGCGCCTTCGTGGCCCCATACGCATTCCCTTCGTGTCCCCGCTGTCGCCCTTCGTGGCCTACTTCGTGCCCTGCTGTCGTTCCCTCTCTCGCTCTCGCTTTCGCTCGTCGTCGTCGTCGTCGACGTCGTCGTCGTCTTGGTCGGTCCCCTGTCCGTCCCTCTTGGGGTCAGGTTGCCGACCGATCAGCGCTGCCGCTGGCAATGCCGACGGTCCGCGGCCGCCCCGCCGTTTGCCGGGGCCGGGCCTGCAAGGAAGGAAGGCATACCCCCCAAAAACGGCACGATCGAAGACGAAGTGGGCGGGTATCGAGGGGTTGAGAAATACGCGTAAACGGACCCTCGAACATTTAAGAACGAACAATATTAAAATGATTGACGTTGTTGTTGGTGTCGTTGTTGTTGTTGGTGTTGTTGTTCGTGTTGTTGCTGGTGTTGTTGGCGATGTTGTTGCCGGTGGTGCTGTTGAACCTTTCGGCCTAAAGCATAATCATGGTTGGTCCCCCCCTGCGCGCTAATCATTGCATGTCTCAAGTAAAGTGCTTTCTCAGGGACGCGCACCCTGCTTTTTACAAGGGGGAATAAGCGTCAGCAACCTGCGCACCTGGTTTACAACAGGAGCGACTCCTGCCTGATACTTCCTCATAATGGATTCCCAAATCGCGCTCTCGCGCGGCATTTCCTCACAATGTATACAGGGATCGCGGTCTCGCTCAAGACTTCGCCGCGGCCCATGCAGGACGCACGTTTCAGCAACCCGCCTGCTCGACCTGGCCGCTTAGGCGCGCCTTCCCGACCCGCCCGCTAGGGTCTACCCGCCCGATCTGCCCGTCTGGTTCTGCCACGTGCTTTCCGCTCCTAACCTCCTAGCCCCCCCTCTTGCTACACTCTCTCGCGTTCCATCCCCATCCCTCCCCCATTGTCGCTTCCTTCCATCCGCCCTCTCTTCCCCGATTTTACTGGCTGCACGAGGTACACATTGCACGTCCGACAAAACATACCCACATGGGCGTACGGTCGAAAACGAAGAGGGCGGGTATCGAGGGTTCGGCATATACGCGTTGAACGACACGCAAGCAGGAAATACCGAGCAAGATTGGAATGATGGTTGGTGTTGCTGCTGTTGCTGTTGCTGGTAATGCTGTTGATGATGATGGTGTGGTTGGTGGTGTTGCTGTGGTCGTTGGCGTTTGTGTTGCTGTTGTGTGTGGTATGGTGTTGTCGTTGTTGGTGTTGGTGTTGGTGCTGTTGTTGCTGGTGTTGTTGCTGTTGTTAGTGGTGTTGTTAGCATTGGTGCTGCGGTTCTCAGAGTGTTTGGTGATATCCCATTTCTTAAAAATAATTATTGTTGGCCCGTTGCACTTTAAAAAGAAATGCTTCTCCCAGGGCCCGCACTCAATTCTTTGACAAGCGAATGTGAAGTGTCACCAAACTGCGCCACTGGCCCCCGAATTACACCAACAACGGCTCCCGCCGAATACTTCCTCACAAGTTATTATCAAGTCGAGCTCTCGCGCGGGACTTCCCCACAATGTATGCGGAAATCGCTCTCTCGCATGGGACTGTATCGCAATGTATTCAGACGCAGCGCCCTCGACACTCCGGAATCAAGATCTCGCTCTGGCCTTTCAAATGATTGATTTGGGAATCGCGCTATCGCTCGAGCACTCCCTCGCGAGTCGTGCAGGACGCACGTTTCAGCAACCCGCCTGCTCGACCTGGCCGCTTTGGCGCGCCTTCCCGACCCGCCCGTTATGGTTCTACCCGCCCGATCTGCCCGTCTGGTTCTGCCACGTGCTTTCCGCTCCTAGCCCCCTATCCTACTACTCTCTCTCTCTCTCTCGTGCTCTATCCTCCTTCCTCCCCCTTGTCCCTTCCCTCCATCCGTCCTATCTTCCCCTGCCTTGAGGGCTGCACGAAATACACGATGCAGTTAAGAAAGGTATACCCCCAAGTGGGATACGGTCGAAAACGAAGAGGGCGGGCATCGAGGGTTTAGGATATACATGTTGAATGGCACGCGAGCAGATAAGAGCGAACAGTCTTATAATGGATGGTGTTGCTGCAGCTGATGATGTTGTTGTTGGTGTTGGTGGTGTTGCTGCTGTTGTTGGTGGTGCTGGTGTTGGTGTTGGTGGTGTTGCTGTCGTTGGTGATCCTGCTGTTGTTGCTGTTGTTGTTGCTGTTGCTGTTGTTGCTGTTGTTGCTGTTGTTGCTGCTGTTGTTGTTGTTGCTGGAGGGGTGATGTTTACGTCGTATACTCCCTCCTCCTCCGTAGCACGCCGTGTGGAGCTTCAAATATGTGAACATGCCGCTGAGACGGAGCTCCACTATCGACTGGGTAAGGGCCTGTTTGCATTACCAAAATCATGCACATCCGCCAGCAGGACCCCAAAAGCTCCTGATAGAGCATACGGACCACATCGCCCGCAACGACTGCATAGGGTGCCATCCACAAGCCCCCTTGACGCCAAGTATACGGCTGAAGAAGAATCAACAGCCCATGTTGAGCGATCAGACCATTGGACCTTCCGTTTGACGCCGCGACTCTGCACCGAAGTCCAGGGCAACCGCAGAAGGAGGGCAGTTCGACCACCCTTCTTAGAAGAATCCGCGAGCTGGTGCAACCACATTCAGACGCTGGAGACGGCGATGCCAGACCTTACAAGTTCGGATTGTCTGAAGGTCTTACCCTAGAAAGCACAAGCTCACATCCAAATCACGCATCGCACAGCTCCGATGCCAACCATTTCCGCCTATGTTCTACGGCACGTGCTCCTGGCCCAGCGGTTGCTTCAATTCAAGAGAGCCCCGAGACGAACAAGAAGAGAAACTGAAAGAAAACTGCAACCTTGACATTCGGGAGGGGGGTAGGGGCCAGAACGGGCAAAAACCTGCGCAGCGCACGATCGGGAACTTCTGCTCGGTGCGTCGCGGCGGCGGCCCCGGCGACACGCTGGGCCCCGCGAGCCGACAGCGCGTCGCCCCGCTCCACGGGGCGGGAGAGGACGGGAAAGACTCGGGGCGTTGACGCACTGGGCACGGGGACGTGGCCAGCGTGTCGCGCCGAAGCGTGGAGGGCCAGAACCGGCGGCGCGACACGCTAAGCCAAAGCTCCTGACTGCAATAGGCAGACCGAGGACCCCGCCCCCCTCAGGCCCCGAGGGGGCTGCTGGGGATCGCAGGCTGGCTGGGTACGCAGGCTGGCGCCGCTTGGGCAGGCGATGGATGGCGGGCCACCAGACCGCCCTGAAGTCCACGAGCTCGAGCGCCTCCAGGAAAATGTGCGTGAAGCGCCTGCGGTTTGAAGACGACGGGGGCATATGGAGGCAGAGATAGAGAGAGAGAGACATATGCATGTATACATTTATATACACACATGTGCGTATGGCTTGATGTATATGTGCATACGTGTATAAATATAGACATAGATGCGCATGCATGTATGCCTCTGAATACATATACACAGAGCGA